TTTCAGACGGAGTCTCGCTCTGTCACCCAGGCTGGAGTGCAGTGGCGCGATCTCGGCTCACTGCAAGCTCCGCCTCCCGGGTTCACACCATTCTCTTGCCTCAATCTCCCGAGTAGCTGGGACTACAGGCACCCGCCACCACGCCTGGCTAATTTCTTGTATTTTTAGTAGAGATGTGGTTTCACCATGTTAGCCAGGATGGTCTTGATCTCCTAACCTTGTGATCTGCCCGCCTCGGCCTCCCAAAGTGCTGGGATTACAGGCGTGAGCCACCGCGCCTGACCAATTTATTTTCTTTATCTTGCTTATTGTCTGCCTTCTTTATTAGAATGTGATTTTTATGAGGACAAGGATTGCTATGTGAAAATATTACAAGAGCAAGGATATACTCAGTCAGTTTTTGTTGATTATAACACAGCCGTGCTATTCTTTTTTTCTGTATATATTTAGAGATGGAGGCAAAATTTAGAGAGAAAGATGAGAGAGAAGAGCAGCTGATAAAGGCGAAGGAAAAACTGGAAAATGACATTGCAGAAATAATGAAGATGTCAGGAGATAACTCTTCTCAGCTGACGAAAATGAACGATGAGTTACGTCTGAAAGAAAGGTATATGTGACTGTTGAAAAGAGTGTCCACCTTCAGTTAGGCTCTGTGGCAAGCTATAGATGGGAGGGAAGAGAAAATGTTTAGGATTGTTACGTTTTCAAGTTCCCCGTCTCTGTTCCTTTCTGTTGTTACCTCATTGTGTCCTTGAATCAACTATTTAACCTTCTAAAATGGGTTTTACCTATCTTACTTGTCAAGAACAACAGAATTAAGGAATACAATATTATTTGTAGAGCTTCTGGTGACTTGTAAAGAAAAGATAAGAAGGCCGGACACGGTGGCTCATGCCTGTAATCTCAGCACTTTGAGAGGCCGAGGCAGGTGGATCACTTGAGGTCAGGAGTTTGAGGCCAACCTGGCCAACATGGCGAAACCTTGTCTCTACTGAAAATACAAAAGTTAGCCAGATGTGGTGGTATGTGCTTGTAATCCCAGCTACTCAGGAGGCTGAGATGAGAGAATCACTTGAAACCCAGGAGGTGGAGGTTGCATTGAGCCAAGATTGTGCCACTGCACTCTAGCCTGGGCAACAGAGTGAGACTCCATCTTGAAAGAAGAAAAAAGAAAAGGTGTGTGTGTGTGTGTGTGTGTGTGTGTGTGTGTGTATAT